ATTTTTATTCCTTTGTTCTCAAGGTTCATCCAGAGCAGAGTTTTGAGTAGGTGATACCTTACAGTTTTCATAAGCATGCACCAAGTGCCTACTGTGTGCAGGTACGGTGGTGCACTGGGAAGAGCACAAGCCCGTATATGGAGAGGGACTGGATTTGAATCATGCCTCTGCCTCTTAGCAAGTGTGACCTTGTCAAGAAACATAACTTATCTGAACTTCAGCAACGTGAAAATAAGACCTGCTGACCAAGTGTTATCAGGAATAGAGATAACATATGCACTCAATAAGAGGTAGCTATGGTTACGTGGGACATAGGGAATAAATCCTGGAGAAAACCTAGAGGACAAAAGACATGACCCTGTGCAATGTGCCTATACACACACAGACACACACACACAGACACAGATACACACACACACACACAGACACACACACACCTCAATTTCTTCATTAACTAATGCTGGGAAACAGATAGTTGCAAACCTGGCTTTATAAAACTAAGGCTGAGAAGTCAACTAATTTAAGATCACCCAGATATTACATGAAGGAGATGGAATTCAAACTGTGTCCTTAAGGGGTTTATAGTCTAGCCAGAGAGATAAGCTGGGCAGAAATAGATAAGTACCAACACAGAATGGCCAAGTGCCAGTTGAATAGCAGAGCCAAAAAGCATTTACCAGTTTAGAGAGGGAGTTCATTCTGAGGATTGGCCAACTGGGGAAAGCGAAAGGAAAACAGAGGATTAGAACTTGTTCTGTCTCCCTGAATACCCCGGAGTTCCTAGATGTCACCATCACAACTGCTTGTTGGTCCTGGAAGCCCAGCCCAGCTGCTGCGGGGACAGAGGCAGCCCTCAGCTCTCCCAGTCCCCGCTCCTCTCCCTCCTCCCGTTCGTTAATGGAATATTTATATGTAGGCCTTCCCAATTCACTCGGATGTGTTATCCAATCTGTGTTTTCCAGCATTATCACAGAGTGGTAAAATCTTCTATTAACACAAAACCCAGGTCTATTTTATAGATATGCGTTCTAGATTACCTTTCTTGAAATCTTTTTCTATGACGTGAGCTTGACTTGCTTGTAAGCATATGTCTGGGCCATTTCTGCACTTGGTAATTTTCAAAACATCTCTTTTGGGCCCTCTTGTCTACATAGTCTGGCTTACAGTGGGTACTGCTGAAATTCATTTTGCCAACATACTGTGTATTGAGGGGCTCCTAGGTGCCAGGCACTGGAACACGGAGTGTATGTCCTATGAATGGCTGATTAACTAATGAAGGCCATCAGAATCTAATCTGAATATCAATATCCACAGCAGATTATTAGTAAATAAACTCTACAGCATTAATGAAAATACAGGGTCTATAGTGACATACAGAGAACTCCCAATTCCTTGTGGCAGGGAACAATCCTTGACAATTTCATCATTGGGCCTATAAACACATCATCATTGTAGATGGATTTTGAGTCAGTAAAGCTGGGCAAATTCACACATCTTTGAAATTTGATCTTAATTTCAATTGCAAAGGCCTAAATTGGGTTAGAGCAGCTTGCCTTCTGTCTTCACCCCTCCTGGATCCTCAGGGATCAATGACTAATTCATTCTTTAAAAGTAAGGTAGAGGGCAGCCCAAAGACTCAGCCTCAGGGGTTCCATCTGGTTTGCAACTTCCTGTGTGTAATGCACAAAGTATTGGTAGCTGTTTTGTGAGTAACAGAGCACAGGCTTTAAGATCTTTTAAAGGGTTGTATTCAGCAACTGATGAGACTCCAAATGTTTTCCTTTTTATTATTCCCAGCCCTCCAAGTTTCTCCAGAATTATTATTACCTTTTAGAGTTAGTGTCTTCTCACATTGATCCCAGAATTCTTTATTTATTGCTCAGAAAAAAACACACACACAAAAAAAAAAAACCCACAGAGCTTTTACTCAGTTCGGGTAACACCTTAGATCCACACTGGTACACCTCAAAAAAGTAAAAAAAGCATAGACTGCTTTAGCTAGAAGTTGAATATCTCATTTCTTTCTTGGTTTCACTTCCTTTTCCATTCTGGTGGCTTCCCATTTTTGGTCTGCGGCCTCCTGTTCCCTGAATTTATTTTCCGTTTGAGAAGCTGTTTTCTCTAAAGCTGTTTTTCTTCTTGATTGTTCCCACTCTCTGGCCCTGCTTTGCTTCTTCAGAAGTCTGGCTGCTGCCATGGCACTTGCCTCAGACCCAGTCTCTGCTTGCCAGGGCTCCAGGCCAACAGGGCCTTCCACTCAGCTCCCTTAGCTCCACTGTCCAGCTCCAACCGGCTCAGCTCAGAACCTTCTGGTCCCTCACATTCTCTCACACAAAACCCTGCCAAGGGACAAATGCAGAAGCTCCTGCCTAATGGGCTCAGCGAACACTGAATTCAGGGGAGGAGGAGGAGGAGGAGAAAATGCATACATGACCAGTCCTCCCTAGAAGGAGTAGTTTCACATGCTCTCTAGGTCATTGATAAGAACTGATGGGATTTGTATTTCAAGAACTCTAATGAATTAAAGACCCCATGACAATAGAAAAAAAAAAATCTAGATTATATAACAGCTCTCAGACCTTACGAATGAAAAGATATAATATTAGGTATCCGATTTGGGGCCCCCAAGGTGACTTAGAACTCATACTCAGCACCTCTTCTCATAGCCTTTAAGAAAAAAAGATGCTTTGCATAAGAACCTTTGAATTCTGTCCTTATCCCTAATATGTGTGTGTGTGGCGGGGGGGCGGGGGGGGGCAGAAGTGTGGGAGGGAGGGGGCCGGAATGTGGTTAGAATGTTTGGGATCCCTAATGTCATAGACAAGGCAATGACAAGATAAAGTGTTAAATAATGTTAATGCTGTAGAAACCTTGGAAGAGTTCAGACTAGTCTTTGGAGCATTGACCCTGAGCTCTGGAATGTCTTATTTCCCCTCTATGGTTTCAGTTGTAAGATGACACTGTTTTTTTGCACCAGTACATGAGGACTAGCTAATTAAAATACTATACTGGTTCATTCAAGAAGTATTTACTGGGTTCCTACTACATACAAGGCATCGTGCAAAGAGACTGTGTAATATGACAAAAATTTAAAAATAGCCAGCCATAAATAAACTCCATGATAGGATTATGTAAAACCTTCCAGATAATTTTAGCTCTTTGGATATATAAACAGGGCTTCTGGTTCCACTGTTTTGAATAAACTGACCTGTTTTTTTTCCACTACCACCCCTCCCTTCCAAATCAATTCATTCATCTTAGTCTACGGCCAATTTCCATCTATTTTCTAATGGTATGACCAGAGCTGCCAATGTAATGCTGTGCCCTGAACACCAAGGGGGCAAACAGGGCAGAACCCCAGTCTATGTTTTGCTGACTAAACCATGTCACCCAGCCTGGGTCAGTGTCCACCCAAAGAAACAATTCTCTAATTTGAACAAATGCCCAATATGTATTAGCTGGGGCCCCTGCTTATGTCTTCAGTTGGCTCAGGGGCTAGAAATAGAATAAATGGGCAGAGCTGTGTGTTGTGATCAAACAAGATTTATAACAAAGACACATTGGTTTTTTTAAATACATTTTTATTATTGATAGTATTACGGATATCTCCCATCCCTCAACCCCTTTTCCTCATTCCTCCAATCCCTTAGTACCCTTTTCCTCCCAGTTATAAAGACACATTTAGTGATATATATGGCGCTTATCTTCACTTATTCCTCTAAGTGGCCATATTTGGTGTTCTTTTTCCTCAGCCAAGCCTACTGTGGGGAAGCAAAAAGAAAACTTTCTGGGGAAGGAGGCCATAGCGAAAGCCTTGGTGAGTTCCCCTGGAGCCACAATATGGGCTCCCATGGTTTGAGTGTTTCCAGAAATCTTATGTCCAAGAGAGTCCAAGGTCCTGGGATCTGAACTCATATTTAATTCACTGGGAAACATCAGCATCTTTCCTCTGGTAGATTGTGACCTTCTTACTGAGAAGCAAAGATGACAGGCGAATAAGAGGTAAATGATAGTGAAGATTCCAAGGGTACAGTAAGGCGATCCAAGGGGTGTTAATTCTCACAGTGAAGCTGTTATTTACTCTCAATTGGTGAGGAACAAGCATAGTTATAAAGGTGAGTCAGGCCCATCTACAATTAGTCAGTAGAGGAAAGACAGAAATTGGATTGAACCCTATTCTGATAAACATACCATCATTTTTACATTAAAAGATTGCACTTGGGTCTAGATCTTTGTAGTTCCACTGAAGGTGATACTATGTCTGATAATTACTGCCCTTATTCTCCCACAGAAGACAGAAAGAATGAGATCACTTCCAGAATCGGACCATGCATATTTCCAAGATTCCAAGCTACCAGGCAGAGATGCCTTAAGAATGGGACACTTTGGCTTTCTCTCAGGCCAGGAAATATGTGGAGTGATCCGGCTATTCACAGGGCACTGTAGAAACTCGCTGGCTGCTCTCACAGGGTGGCTGGTCCAAGGCTGTCTGTAGGGTCACAGTCATGGCACCCACGGTTCAAAGCTCTTGCATAATACAGTCTCAAGATGGAAGAAAAAGGCCACTTTATGATGTAGTGAGGTGCTCTTCAATGGTGGTATTCAAGTGGAGCCTGGATGCTCATGTCAAAGGCACTGGAGAAGACCTCTCTGGCCTTCATATGGAAGGATCTTTCCAGCTCTGAGATTCTCTAATTTACTTATAAATCATCACTGACAGATGGGATGTAGGGTAGTGTTGTATCATGAGACAAGCAAAAGTTAGAGCCAAATGTGATCAAGGAGTCCATCAAAAGAGCTTGAAAGCTGACAGTATTTTGGGAGCCAAAGAACAAAGAAAACTTTGTGGCTCCTCTCTTTCTGCCATAATGCTCAGTCCTGTAATATCCATGTCTCTCATGGGTGTGGTCAAGAGCTTTGAGCATTGGGCTTGAGTCCATGGGGAGCAAAGGTGACCATGGTTCCCAGGGGAGAGACAACTGGAAAAGAGCTGTCCCCAATTATTGATCTGGTGCAGGAAGGTAGACGACTTCATTGTTTTCTGAAAGAAAGACTTTTTAGTCACATAAGTGCATTTTTCCTTATAGCTCAAAAAGAAAAGAAAAAAAAAAGATTATGCAATGTTCAGCAAAACCTGAGAAGCTGGCATTGACATTTTTAGCCTGCTTTGTCAAGATTCTCTTAGTACTTGACAAATTTTAACTCATTCACAAACTCCACAAGATAAAAAGCAGGAACTCACAGTGTGTCATTCTTGAGACAGGTGTGTTATTGTAAATCTTTTTATTTATTTATTTATTTTTGTTGTTTTTTGTTGGGTTTTTTTGGTTTTGTTTTGTTTTTTTTCTTCAGTAGTTCTTATTTCTTAGATTGAGATTAGTGCTCTACTTTGTAAAGAAAACATTAGAATGACCCACTAACTCTAAACTGATTTTCTAATAAAGGGATTGTGTGTTTTTTTTACTTTTATCTAATAATATGCTTTATATCATAGCACTTGAATTGGAGTTGAAATCTGTGGTTATGAAGTAACACCAAAGTTCTGGCCCACACTGAGTTCAAACCCAAAGTCTGGGTCTCATCCATATTATGCTGTGATCAGCCTGAGCATCTACAGAAACCGGGCTTAGGGGATGGGGTGGGGAGAGATGACTTTACAATACAGCAAGGATCATGTCTGTCTTTTACATTCCTATATCCCGGCATCCAGTACAGTGCCTGGAACACAGTAGGCATTTAATACATATATATATGGAATGAATGGTTTCCCAAGTTATCAAGAACCTATATCTCTCCCATTTCTCCTTCCCCTTTGCCTTACCCCGGTTCCCATTTTCCAAAGGTATCTACTTTTCAACATTTTATGTGTTATAAGGTGATTTTAGAAGGAAAAGGACTTTCATATGATTGGGTCAGAAAACGTTTGTCAAAATGGGAACACTTACTGATGTCTTAAAACAAAGGACAAAAGAAAAGGTTAATGGTAATTAATAATAAGGATATAGTTTAGAAGAAGACAAATCAACATCACTGTATCTTCTCTGACCCAACTTCTGGGAGGACAGTTCACCTGGACAGAAGTTGTCCTACCCTGTTGGTGTCAGGCATCACCTATGAAACAGAACACGCTCCTTGCAAGCGTTATCCACAGGTGTGTTCCCTCTATGACGGGAGAGGTGTTCCTCCTGTGATCAACAAGTGTGGCCCAACTCATTCCTAAGAGGAGAGTCGAGTGGTAGGTGCAGAAAATAAAGCTTTTGAGGCTGTGGGAGTGATAATCTGCAGCCCCTTAGACCCCGCCACATTGCCAAAACCGGTTTGGCTCAGTGGGTAGCGTCGGTCTGCGGACTGAAGGGTCCCAGGTTCAATTCCGGTCAAGGGCATGTACACTGGTTGCAGGCACATCCCCGGTAGGGGGTGTGCAAGAGGCAGCTGGTCGATGTTTCTCTCTTGTCAACGTTTCTAGCTCTCTATCTCTCTCCCTTCCTCCTCTCTGTAAAATATCAATAAAATATAGACCCCGCCATGTGCCTCTCACCTTTGGGCCTCCTTCTCCAGGCCAGGAAGCCAGCTCCAGCCAGGACCATGGCAAGGACAATGAACCCAGAGACAGCTTTGATCACCAAAAGGATAGTTTCTGATCCTAAAAGCAAGCATATGGGGGGAAATCCACACGTCCTTCTCCCGTTCTGTATTAACTTTGGGGCACTTTTGTCCCTGTGATCATCGGGAAGCCCAACACCATTATTCTTACTCCTGCTTCTCATTCATGGATCCATGCAGGGCGGCAATCTAAAAAAAGGGGACAGTAGCTCTCAAAGTGGGGTCTGAATGCCCCAGGGTCTTCAAGCAAGACCCTTCAGAGAGCCCACGAGGTCTGAGTCATGACTTCCCTTTCCTTATCTCTCACATGTGCACAGTGGGGCTTTCCAGAGGCTACATCACATGTGAGGACACCACCGCTCTGATAGCTCATGAAATGTGTGCTCATATTTTCTTGAGTTTAAATTTTAAAATTTTAAAAATTTCAATACAATAAGTAGCAATAGAGAAAATCCACATCTTGGTAGTAAATAAAAGCTCTTTGGGATCCTCAATTTTTAAGAACATAAGGAATCCCTGAGACCAAAAAATGAGAACCTCTCTTTTAAAAGATGCATTCTAAAGCATCCAGTGATCCCCCTTGCTGCTCACCCCCCCCCCCCCCCCCTTGTCTCACTTCCCAGACAGCACAGCCTGTCCTTACCCTGAGGGACCTGAAGAACCATTTGGACATCTTCGTGCTCCACGTGACAGGAGTAAAGGTCGCTGCTCTGAGGATCCAGCTCCACAGATACCCACGTCTGATAGGTCCCATCCCCACTGGGAAGAATATCGCCATAATCCATTTCATGGATAATTTCTTCCCCATTTTTCTTCCACATCATGGAAATTTCAGGGGGGTAAAAGCCATAAGCTCTGCAGACAAGAGTTGTAACCCCTGGAAAAGTTTCTTTGCGAGTTACTTTGACCAGTGGGGGCTCTAGGAAAAAAGAAGATAAATTTAAATAGAAATATCTTATATATTGAGTATACAATATCAGAACTGGTGTCTGGGTTTCCCAATTAATTTCCTGCATTGCAGGAAACATCTAAAACCAAGAATGACCCGGAACCCAGTTACATCAACAACAAATTGATTGTGCACTTCTGGCTAGGGCAGTGTGCTCAAGAATAATGAGTGTGTTGTTGAGCCATGTAACTGAGCTACAGAATTTGTATGTAACTGTGACAAGTGATTCAGCAAAAGTTTGGAGATTAGAACTCAGCACTCCTTTTTCTCCATTCTGTGCTTATGCCAAGATATCACAGCCATCTCAGCTCAGCTTTGGCTCTGAGTCACCTTTGAACTCAAGTTGGCACTTTGGTGACTGCTGTGGTTTGAATGTTTGTGTGTCCCTCCCCAAATTCACATGTTGAAATCCCAACCCCCAAAGATGATGGTATAAGGAGGTGAGGCCCTTGGGAGGTGCTTAAGTCATGAGGGTAAAACCTTCAAAACTGAAATTAGTGCCTTATAAACGAGGTTCCAGGGAAATCCCTTGTCCCCAGCCACCATGTGAGGACACAGCAAGAAGTCAGCAGTCTGCAACCTGAAACAGGGTCCTCAACTGACCATGCTGGCACTCCGATCCTGGACTTTCCGCTTCCAGAACTGTGGGAATGAATTTCTGTTGTCAGTTACCGGTCTGTGGTATTTTTTATAGCAGCCTGAATGGACTAAGACAGCGATTGTCATCAGATACAAACATATGTAACAGGTCACGTCATGCTTATGCCTTCAGAGGGGCTATGGACATCCATATCCTGGAGGGAATCCAGCAGTGACAGCAAAGAAATTGTCCGTTTGTGGTCTTGCTTCCTCTTAACCATTCTGCTCATTTTCCATAAGGTGCTGTCCTTAGTGTTTCCTGCTGACACTGGGTCATATTTAGACATGAGCCACACAGAGCCCAATGCCATCCCTGGAGGGGCTGCTTCCTGTTTGTCTCTACTCACTTCCTCACCTGCCACTGAAATACAGGAGGAGCCCTCATTTCAACAATACCTTCCAGTTCTGTCCTGTGGCATCTCATTTAGAAGGAGAAAAAGGCTTTCCAACATTAACAAGAAAATGTAAACACCTCCGAGGGGGGCTCTGCTTGTTGCCTGTGAGAAATGATCAGAGATCCTTTCCTAGGAGTGGGCTTTGACCAATGGGTTGAGACACCATCAGGACACTCGTGGTAGAGAGAGAGTAGGCATGGAGGGGGAGCAGGTACACTGAAGTCAGACTTCCCACACTGCTCACGCACACCCCAGCTGTGCAAGCTTCCCCCATTTTTCCAAAGAGTGCTCGCCCTCAAATCCCAATTACACTGTCTTCCCTCTCCTGGTGCTGGCTTCACTGAGAAGAGCAGGCAGCTGGTTTGGAAAGGCTATGCCACTAATCAAGCTGAGGAAGTGGCGGCTCACACAGCCTCTCTTCAGACCTGGCTGGCCTCGGCCTAAAATGCCTCATGATTAAAGGTTCCATGCAACCCCAAGTTGGCCCTAGACATCAACCAGATCCTGAGCTGTCAGACGTTTTTCAGTCTGGCAACAATAACATTTAATGAATTCTACAAAGAGCTTTCATATATTATTTCACAGAAATTTCTGTGAGGTAGGCATATCACTTACTTAATTTACTCAAGGTTATTGCTTTGCTGGCCTACCCTCTATTAGCCCCATTTTTCTTTTCATCACAAGAACCCCTTCTCCTGACAAGCACACTCCCATATTGGAAAATTAGTCCACTCCACCCCAACATGTTGCTTCTTTTAAGAGGTACCATTCTGGCAGGAACTCAAACTGTGACCTCCTGGTACATAGGTTGACGCTTAACCACTAGCCATGCCAGCTGGGCAAGAGGTACCATTCTTAATCCTGACACCGAGACATAACCCAAGCTGTATGCCCTGGCTACTCTCTCTTTGCTAGCTCCCAGATCTAGTCTCAAACCACCTGTGCCCTGCTCTGCCCCAGGAGGCTGTGCTCATCAGACTGCACTCCAGGGCTCTCTTGCCCAAGCTACCTGTTGGGTCTGGCTTCTGGGAGGAGAACGCTTAGCAAAAGACCAGAGAACTAGAGGAGAGAGTGGCTAGAAATTTGTCCACCGTTTGCACAGCCATTGCAATCTGCTATTAACCATGATCCTCCATGGCCTCAGCTCTCACTAGAAAGTTCTTCCAGGGAACCAGCCCTGTGGAACTCTGGTAACAATAGTCCCTTCCCTTTTGCCTTTAGATTCAGGAGAAGTAATGGCTTCCCTCTGCTGTTAGCCCTGAAGTATTTCACTATCCCTTACTGGTGTCCTTAACCCTGATTGCATCTATGTAAATAATCTGGTTACTGGCTTCCCAGTTAAGCCATCCTGAGTGCGCCATTTGGTTCTTGTCAGGATTCTGTAACCCAGGGCCAGGCTTAGAAACTTCTCCCGATGGGCACAGTGATTAGTGCAAGAGGTGGGGTATGACCCAACTGAGGGCAACCAGAGTCCTCCTGTAATTTAAAAAAATTATTTTTTGTAGCTAGTGCTAGGAGAGAGAAGCCCATTCTTCCAGAATGCTGAAACTACAAGGACACGAGCTTTGTGTTGGCCAAGACCTCCCCTCAGAGAAAACCATTCAAATGTTTTCAATGCCCATCAGAAGTTTCTAAGAAATCACTGCCCTGATTTCTACCTGTCAAATAACCTCCCCCCTTTATGCTTAGGCCAGTTAGAGTAGGTTTCTGTTCATTGCAACCATTAAAATTGAGATTGTTACTTAGCTAGTGAGTAGGAGAGTTTAAGTTCAAATTCTAGTTATCTGCCTCCATAGGCAGGCTCTTAGAGAGACAGTCCACACTCATAACATGATGCTTCTCGAGGGCCGGCCACAGCTCTGGAAAGTCCACCATTAAAGACCACCCCTGTGGGGAAAGGCACATTGTGTCTAGGAGTTTCCTACAGCATGACACAGGCACAATTCACTTTGAATAAGATTGTAAGGGGAAAGTTCTGTATTAACTAAAAGTTATCTGATTAAATCCTTATCGTTAATGTGTAAGGAGCTTTTCACCGAAAGAAATCTTATCATAAATCCTTTAGTGAGGAAAGACCCTCTGTCTCTCTTTGTAAGTCCAGATTTCACTCACACGGGTGGTATGGGAGCCCTTAGTTACCACACAACTTGTAAGAACTCCACTGCCCAAAGCATTTCCCAGCTTCTCATTGTCAGGAGATGGAAGGATTCGCCTCACTGGATCCCCACAAAAGTAGGTGTCCCCAGAGGTACTCTACTCTCTCAAGTGGGATGGCTGAATCTCATCAAGATGCTGATAAAAGCAACTGGGGAGAGTTTTCACAGGGAGTCATAGACCATGATGGGTTTCAGAGTAAGGTGAATGTAACCTAGATTAGAGGAAGTTATAAAACCAGGGTTCTGGGGGCGCGGAGACAAGGTGTTCTCCCTTCTTTTTACCTGTTCTTTGTAGAGTGTCTTTCCCATACTCCAGGAACCTCTTTAACCAGGCGATACATTCTTCCTCCAGCCAATTCTTCTGATACTGTAACTCATGCCAATTGGCCTCCCACGCCCTCTTGGTGATGTGGGCCACGTTGTCTACAGCTATCCAGGAGAGCGTGTCTTTGTCAAAGATAAGGAAGTCCTCTCCGTCATATGCATATTGCAAAAATCCCGTGGTGCTTCCATCCTCCAGCAACTCACAGCCAATCATCCTCTGGTAAGTGTGAAACCCTGGAACACACATACAGGCCAGAGAAGGGCTCACACAGGATGTGGAGGTGAATGCCCTGGTGATGGGAGTCGGGTGCGGCTGGGAACATCCTCCACCCCAGGACAGAGCACTCCTCAGGCCCATCATGGCATCACTGTCTCCAGGAGATTCCGGTGGCACCATCCCATTCATCAACAGATATTTATGGCACACTTACTGTGTGCCAAAGGAACGTGATAACTCCTGCCTTGGGGAACTATAGGATAACTCCTATAGCAGCAATGATTAATGGATAAACTTTATAGTGCAGTGGAGCGAGAGATAAGCAGGAGCCAGAAATATCCCTGGGAAAGTTAATGCCCATAGTCATGATGCACATGTGAGCAACTCATTAAGCCTGGGCCACCAGGAAATGAGGCATAGAATGGCCACGTTGAGATGGGAAAGGAGAAGATACAGGTCACAAGCCTGAATGACACTGGGATAAAGGAATAGGGGGCAAAGGACAGAGGGCTCCTAGGAACAACAGTCTCTTTGGAAGATGCGCAGGGCAAATGGCAGGCACCGAACCCCATCAACCAAATTGTCCAAGCTTTGCCAAAAGCCACAGAAAGGGCAACTCAGCAAAAACTTACACGCACCCTCAGCCCAGGGACCAGGTTCGGGGAGGGGAAGCAATCTGCTGCGTTCACACCTGAGTGATTATAGTGTCTCTGCAGGCGCTCCAGTTCCACCTTGAACGTCTGCTGCCAGCCTCGCAGCAACTGGGTGTACCTCGCCCAGTGATCCGGCTCCAGGTGCTCCGCCATCCATGGCGCCCGGGGCTCCTTCAGCCGAGAGACACTGTCGTATGTGGTGATGGGGTGAGAGTCCACGTAACCCACTGAAATAAATTCAGGGATCCCGTGGCCAGGTTCCGAAACGCCCAGGCGGAAATATCTCAGAGAGTGAGTCCCTGGGAGGGAGGCAAAAAAGGAAGAGATTTAGTCACAGACCATCCAGGCCCACAAGCGGCAGTCTTTAATTCCCACGTATTGCTCCATGTTCAGCTGCACCCACTCCACTCCTCCTTGGACCGGCTGCTGACTCGTCTTACAAAATCAGGGACTGGGGCTGCAAAGGGCTTGGGAGCTCTAGCCCCAGACCTAGAGCCTTTTTCATAAAGGGGAGCAGAGCTGAAACCTAATTTATTTGGAGCCTGCAAAAGTATGCTTGAATCTGTCACTGACTTTGAAACGGTGCTATTTCTCCACATCTGGAAAGGTTCTATGGCTCTGCAGATATGCAGCTGTCTAAAGATGGAGGCAAAAGGAAGAGCAGATTGTGAACATCAGTTCTCACACCTCCCTGATATCCGTCCGTATATTCAGCAGACATGGGAGGGCCTCCTGTGTGCCAGGCTCTGCGTTAGGCCCTGAGCACACAACAGACAAGACAGATGCAAGAGTCTGCCCTTGGGGGGGGGGGGGGAGGGGGAAGGAAACAGACGATACAAAATAAATGAGCTAAGTAACATGCTTTTAAAAAAGTGTGATGGAGAAAAATAAAGCTGCAAAGAAGACTAAGCAATACAATTTAGACAGTAATGGTTAGGGAAGGCTCCCCAGGAAGGTGACTTCTGTAGGAATGAGGGGTCAGGCAGACATCTGGAGACAGCAGTCCAGGCGGGGGGACTGTGCAGAGGCCCTGTGGAAAGGACTTGCTGGCATGTTCCAAGAGCAGCAAGAAGGCCTATGGCTGGAGAAATGGGTAGGAATCGCTTCCACGGTTACTCATAGGAAAACATCTCACAGAAATCAAATTCTAGGCACAGAATGAGAGAGAAGGAATAAGAATTTGGGGGAGAAAAAAAAAAAAGAAGATTTTACTGAGCTAAGTTGGATTGGTATAGAAATTCCCTTGGAATATGGGGTTCCATTTATGACAGCTGGGTTCACATGCCTAGAACGTGCCGCCGAGTTAAAAAATAAATAGAAGGTATTAACATCTTGGGGCATTACTCTCAACAGGAGAAACTTTTCTAAATGAGTATCACTGACACTACCACACACAATATTTATAATTCTTGTTCTTATTACACTTTCTTATTACAAAATATCACTTCATAAAAATCTTCATTACCAGAGTTTATAAGAGGTAAGTAAAGAGGGTCTGTTGACAATGCTGTCCAAGTCCAGTATCCTGCCGTTTTCTCCAACCTCCATCTCAGCCTGATTCCTGGTTTCAGAGCAGCGCTCTGCCAGCCCTCACTTCAAAGGCTGCTCCGCCCCTAGGGGCTGGCCTCCATCTGTCCGTCATCTGCCTGTCCACCCCCCTGCAGCTGCGGCCTGGCCCCACTCCAGGACATCTCAGCCCTCTCCCCTGCCTTTGCTGTGGACCTAGTTATCCATCTGGTGTGTCCATAGGTACGAGCCATGCTTGCTCCTTAGTTGGGCTTCCAAAATGCGAGCTCAGCTGTGATGGGAGATTTGTGGACAGATGTTTAATCAGTGACTCAACAGAAGAGAGAGGGGAAAGTCTGTCATCCCCTCTCTCATGGTACGTGAGACTCTGTGATCATTTATATCCTATGGATGGTCAGGTGAAACAGAATTATGAAGGTTGAATCATTTGAAAAGACCTATATTTGATCATTTTGATCTCCTCAAATGGCAATTTCATATGACCCCATCTAAAATATCTTCCGATTCTTTCTTCTTGCTCCAATGATTATGTAATTAGATTTCTCTCTTCCTTTCCATGAATAGACCATCAGCATCAACTCACTTATGGAACTGAAATCTACAATTTTGAATTTGGTCTTCTGTCCGGGCCAAACTGCTTCTCAAAGGGCCTCCACTGCTGGTCCCAAGAGCCTCTGATAGACATTGCTCAAAAGCCTGAGCAACACAACCACACAGTTTTACACCAGACACAGCGGTTACTTAGTGTCCTAAGTTATGTTCCTTTAACTTATAGATTAACTGACTTGGCCACTTTTATAAAAGGCTGTAAAAATCACTGGTTATAAAATAATTGATAGTGTTGTCAGATATTCATCCATGGGGGAAATTTTTATTTATTGGGTAGGTACCACGTACATGGGATTGTGAGCAATGTCAGGAAGAGAAAAACAAATCAGATACTAGTTCTTCCCTCCAGGAACGTACAGTACTGTAGGAGAACCTGTAACATAAATAAATACAGTGCGGTGACACGTAGCAGCAAGTAGTGAGTGACATGATCGTGTGCTCAGAGGAGAGCTGCTCTCACGTGAAGCAATTCAGAAATGCTCCAAGGAGGAGGTGAAGGTCCTTCCACCAAACGGGGCCTTCAAAGAGGTATGGAAGCCGCAGCATCTGAGTCATAACCATGAGAACTACACTTATTTACTGAGCACATACTGTGTGCTAGGACCAGGCTAAGCCTTTGATAATGCATTTCGCTTACTCCTCATGGCAACCCTTTGAGATAGGTTCTAAAAATTCCCATTTCAGAGGGAGGGAATGTGTGGGAGGGAGGGAGGAGGGTAAAAAAAAAAATCAATAAAATATGTTAAAAAAAAAATTCCCATTTCAGTGGGTTCAGAGAGTTGAAGAAATGGCCCAAGATGATCTTTAGAATCCATAGTGGAGGAGCCAGGATTCACTCTCTGACCTCAGACTGAAATCCCTCTGTCTTCACACCCAGCTGGTCCTAAGGCAGGGGCACTTCTCCAGCCAGACTATTCCTTTCCACCACCATTGCTCTCTCCCGCCCCCTTGTGTCAAGGATGATTCACTGTCACTGACTCCCATAGTCCCTAGAGGCTCATGCTGTAGACCTTCCTACAAGTGGCTGTGGTCCCTGATTGGATAACCAAGTCAACAAAGTCCCTATTATTTGCTGGCCCTCCCAAGTAGCCTGATGCCTTAATACAGTCAGAATGACTAAGATTTCTGGGAACTACTGTTTGGAATTTCAGGCAGCTTGGGAATGAGGGGGAGAAATGGATGGTGATATTTTTAGTTGAGAGGACCATTGGACACTTCTCAAACCAAGCATTCAGTGAATGTGGACGGTCCTACGGGCAGCCAGAACTCACAATCTAACTACAGGAACTTGCTTAGGGCATGAAAGTGCTGAGTGTGACAGTTTGATATTTTAGCTACTCTTTGGAGGCTACCTTTTTGGAGGTTACCAATGTCTTCTTCTTTTCTTAATTTGCAGTAGGCATAGTCCTAGAGCTAGGGATGCAGCAACAAACTCGTCCAAGTTCCAGCCCTATAGGCTAATTTCTAGAAAGTGGTGATGAAAATTGTGAAGAAAAATAAAGCAGGTAAAAAGTGTGAAGAAGGCTGATCTTTTAGACAGAAGGATCAGGAAAGTCCTCTCTGAGCAGGTGGCAGTTGAGCAGAGATGTGAATGAAGTCAGTCATGGGAGAAGAACCTTCCAGAAAGAACAGCAAGCCCGAGTCCTTGAGGAGGCTGTGATTAAGGAATAGCAAGGACACTACTGTAGGACCATGTAGAGCATTAGAGAATAAATGAATGAATGAGCTCTGGTGGGGGAGTTTTTTTCTCAGTACTCTCCATATACAATGATGACCATATGCCTCATATTTCCCAGGAGAATTCCAATTTTGTGAATTTTATTGAAGTCATAATAAAACCTGATTTGATACGTATATTTTTGAAAGGGTTTTGATAATAAATATAAATTTGGACATCAGGAAAAATGTCCTTTGTCATCTATCTCAATCTGGGTTTCATAAAGCAAGTGGGATAAGAGGATGGCTAAGGTCAATGGATTTTAGTGAAAATAGATATCCCAACTAGTCAGAAAAAATATCTACAGATTACTTGAATTTCTCCAATTGAGACAGATTCCATGTCAACCAAGAAGAAGAGAGCCTTAGGGGAGTAAAACGTTGTCTTGGAGAAATTTCTACTGCATGTATCTTGGTAACAGCTCCATGGAAACAGACTGAAGTCTAGTCAAGTCTATAGCAAAGGCCCATATTTCCCCAAATTAACTCTTTGAACTCAAGGTCATTTCTAAACAGATAATCTATAAGTCTGTGTTTTTACACTAGCTCAGGTGTCAATTTAGGGGGCTTACACATGATTAGTCTTTATCTGTGAAGGACTCCATCATTTATGAGGCAAATTGATATTGCAGATTGAGATGCATCCATAAAATTATGAATAATATCAAGAGACTGACCTTGGTTATTTCAAGAGTAAGCATACAAACCACATATGCCTATACAAGAGAGATCCTATGCATGGCCCTAGGTAATTGCATCCGGCAGGGACAGTTTCTCACAGGTTGAAATGAAGAACAGGATGAGTTGTAAAGCATGAAACATCATTTTTTGTTTTTTTGTTTTCATACAAGTTCTGTCTGCAACTACAGTAAACCACAGTTGCAAATTTAGAGTCGTTATTACTGCTCAATTTCTCTCTGGCTCCCAGTCAGATGACTTCAATTTCTTAGGGACATTACCTCTGAACATGAATTCACTCAGGAGGCGTTTATGAAGTGTCTATTGGTCACTAGGTAGTGCTGGGGAAAGAGAAAGAAAAGGAAAAGGAAGAAATGTCTCCCTGGCTTTAAGGAGAGCCTGGAAGGGAAGATTTTTGCAGATAGGAAATTAAAAAACTGTGAACACGAGCTATGGGAGCACACAGGAAGGAGCGGTCCACTGCAGGCTGTGGAGCCAATGAAAGCAACACACCGGAAGCGACATTGGCGTTATCGTGACACTTCCTAGAGCTGTGCTCCCAAGCACTCCCTGCATTTCCTCCTCTAGAAGCTCCTCCACGCAGGGCCAGCATTGGGCTCATATAGCAATTAGACCAAGTCTTTTTTAATCACCCCGGCTCTCTTCCCTATCAGCATCCCTCAGTGCTCAAGAACTCTCAGTCAGGGTCGTGGCAGGAAATAGCCTTCACTCCAGATAAGTAACGGAGGAGGAGGAGGAGGAGGAGGAGGAGGAGGAGGAGGAGGAGGAGGAGGAGGAGGAGGAGGAGAAAAAAGGAGGGATAATGTGGTCCAGACGCTAGCAATGATGGGAAGCCTTTACCACCCATAGAGTTGTAGGGATAAGAGTAGCAAATTGTGTCCCCCAAGCCCAGTGGGAGCTGGAACTGCATGAAGAAAGGGCTAGTCCGGGAAAATTATATTGCAGAGGGACACAGCTACCACCGGAGACATTACAGAAGCAGGGGGAAAGGAAAGATGAAATACCCCAACCTCCTTTCCTCCTGGCTCTCTGACCTCTCTCCTCTCAGTGTCTCCCATTGGGTGGAAATCGGCCTGCTAGAGAGAGACTGGGTGACGCAGGCGTAGACATCATCCTCCAGGGCACAAGACACGACAGAGAGGGGTGATGTCTAGGAGTGAAAAGGAGAATAACCAGAACCAAGTGAGTCTGCCTACCCTTCACAGAGGACTGGCTTTATTTCCCATTCCACCATTATCCAAGTGCCAGGTGTCCGCAGGCAGAGGCTGTGGCATTGCCAGGACCCCTGAACTATGGGCTAGAAGGTCTGACTGTCCGTTATGTGGGCTGGGTCAGCCTCTCCGGGCTGGGCTTCTTAGTCTGCCCCTGGGGTTAGTGAGTCCACAGCAGGAAAAATTATGTTTAGGGGGTATTGCGGTCACATTATTGGACAGCTCTTTAAGGATCAAATATATATATATATATATATATATATATATATATATATATATATATATATATATCTTTTTCCCTTCCGGAAGTATCACCCTTTTCTCCCTTCTTCTGTCCATAATTTCTCTGTCCCTCCCCCCCCCCCCCCAAACTTTCCCGTTTCTGATTTAAATGGTGGGATTTTTCTGGGTTAAATTTCTGTAGACGTAGGACCGATGTCTGTCCTATTCACGGTGGCAACTCCAAAAGTTGTGGTTGTGTAATAAACAGACAGATGATTTGAAAGAGCTCCTTCCTGTCATCTCAGGAGTCCCCGCCTGCTGTGGCGGCTGAGACAGTTCCAGCCACCTGCCGTCCAGGGAGTGCGGCCCCAGCAGGAAGAGAAGCTGCTTGGGCACAGAAGCCTGGTGCTTCCAGCCCATGGACCTCCTCAGGCTTTTGGGGTAACGGCAGGCACCTGCTTCCCCGGTGACCCGGGCCCCTAAACCATGAAGAACCTCTCCTGGGCCCAGTTGATCTCTCTCACAGCCAGTAAGCAAGCCCACAACCATGGCTCTCTCTCTCCGGGGCCTTTTGTTACAGGTGGAGCTCGTGGTGAGGAAGGAAAACAAACCGGCACAAAATTATGTTTAGGGGGCTCTGCTCCGCTGTTCCAGGCCCCTGAGACTCTGGCCACGCCACACGGGACTCGAGAAGCCAGTGAAGAGGAGAAACAGACGGAAAAGAAAGGGTCTGAGCAGAAAACAGAGAGCAAAGCTCAGGAGGAAAGTGAGGAAGCTCCCCGGAGGGTCCCTCCACAATGGATTCCGCCCCGTCGGGAGGGGTGACACTAACATCCCGCCCGAGTGAGCCGGGACACGGTTCACTAGTCCAGCCTCCGACACGTCCCGGGTGAATTAAATACGTTTTCGCCCAACTTCTTCCACATTTCGCCATGAGTTTTAGGAGGACAAGCTGTCCCCCCTCGGTGGCCTCGGCTTCGGAGTTCGGAGTTCAGAGCAGAGAGACTTGGGATACTCACGGGCAGCGCTGTGCTTCACCGTAAATACAATAAGGAGGGGTAACAGGAGCACCATCGGCCCTTCTAAAGTCCTCTCTTTCAGATTCTTTTCACCAAAACACAGACGGGTCCCAGCGGATCTTTCAGGAACCCAAACTCCGCCCACGCTTCAGGGTGTAGAAACTGCTGGAAGCTCAGGGCCCTCTCCCAATAGAAACAGGGGAGAGTGCAGTGTCATCAGTTGCTAGGTAGAATAAAGAAAAATGAGCGCTTCCGGATTCACTTTTAACCCTTTGGTGGCTTCAGTAAGGTGACCAGATTTTAACATTGGTAAAGCGGGACACCATTGACTGGAGGGTGGGGGGTGGGGAGGTTCTTAATTAAAAATTTGGTCTATATTAAATTATATTATAAATTATTGTATACATATTGTTTAAAAACCCAGTAAGTAGGTACATAATTACATGAACATATTTTATTGTTAGTTTATAAATTAAATTAATTTGTTATAAAGTAACTACATTTTTAAAATTTTAATTTTAATCCTATATTTCTTTCTAAATAATAACAATACTAACTTGTATTATTTTTCCTCTGAATTTTCCATAACGTAAGTCGTGTCACTTTCAAGGCCGGTGCTAGATTCTTTGCCACCACAATAAAATATAAATAATACGAGTACTGTCTGCTAAATTCAAGAAAATTCATGTATTTATGAAATAAATTACCTAAATTATCTGAATAGCTGATTTGTAATGATATCACTTGTTTAACTAGCTTACTAGCACGCAGTATGATGTGTATCGTCTGAGAGATAGTTACAAAATGTTTTCATCATTGCCAATCCCAAAAAATGCCATTGTTCATTAAGTCCAAACAATGGTGGTCAAATTCTAACAACTGATCAACAATGCGAACTTTGATAAGCAGTTCTCGATAATCAGTTCTCAACAATTATTATTAAAGTTTAACATTATAAAATTAACTGCCGAAAACTGTATATTCCCTTCTCGTTCTCCTGCCGTTCCCTAGCTTGTCCATGCATTCTTTCCAATAATCGGGACTTTTTTAAGACGTCGTGGGACGTGGGACATATTGTTAAAAACTGGGACTGTCCTGCCAAAAGCGGGATGTCTGGTCATCTTAGACTTCAGGTACTGTTTGGTCCTTTTGGTATGCCTGTTTCAAACCTGTTCTTAATCTTTTAAAATTATTATTATTACTATCATTATTAAATTATTTTTCAATTACAGTTGGCATACAATATCACATTACTTTCAGGTGCCCTATTCCCAACCTTTAAAATATTTACAGAGCACAGGTATGTGGAAGGTACAGGGAACACTAAGATTAGTCATTCTTTGTCCTCCAGGGAGCACAAAAGAAGTCTTTACTTCTTCACTGGAGCAGAGATTTCACTGTGGAAGGATGTGTAAGATTCACACAAGGTCCTAGGACTTGAAACTCCCTGCCCTGGCTTCCTACAATGCAATAGTCCCTACAGCTAATATAGCACATATCACTTAGACGGTCTTATTATTTTTAGCTTAGGTCTATCTTCCCTGCTGCTCTAGCACCCAGCACAATAAAAAGAAAAAAATTTTAATGCTTTAATAAAGGAGAGCAAGTAAAAAGCCTAAAAGTAGATTCTGAGGGGCAGCCACTTGGCTTGTTTGATTAGCAATCACCAGGATTAAGTTGTGACTACAATGTCATCAGGAGAGCATGACAAGTTGAAAAGCTTAAGCTTTCCCAGGCCTAGGCAGGAAGTAGAGGTGGCTGAGAGATATGAGTGGAGTCAAGACTCTGAGGGACCCAGGTTTGCATCCTAGCTACTTGACCTTGAGCAGAATCCCAAATTGAGCTGAGGCTCAGTTTCTTCAACTGTAAAAGCAAATCCTGGCATATATTTCATAAAGTTGTTGAAGTATTAAATGAGGTTATGTTTATGATGTACCTGGTAGGTACCATAGCTATACAAATTGATTTCCTCCAGTGGTAGATAAATAATACCACTTTCCTGATTCCCCCCACCCCCCCCCCACACACACACAATCTTAAAGATAAGAGCATCCTAATCTCCAGAACCTGTAACTGTTACTTTATGTGGCAAAAGGGACTTAGCCTATATGGTTGTATTAGTAATCTTGAGATGAGCAGATTACCCTGAATTATCTGATGGGCCCAATGAAATCACAAAGTCCTTATAAGAGGGAGGCAAAAGGGTCAGAGTCTGAGACGTGTCAGCAGAAGCAAGGTTGAAGTAATGCCAATGCTGGAAGGGAGACACGGCCAAGGAATGCAGACGGCCTCTCAAACTGGTGGGAGAGGGAACAGGTTTTCCCACGGAGCTTCCAGGAAGAATGGAACCCTGCCAGCACTTCGATTTTAGTCCAGGAGACCCCCTTTCAGACTTCTGGCCTCCAGAACTGCAAGAGAATAGATTTGTGGCTTTTAGGCCACTAAATCCATGGTAATTACACTAGAGGCCCTATGCAAGAAATTTGTGCAAGGGGCTCAGCTTCACAGCCCTGGCTTTGTCCAGAAGGTCATCCAGATGGTCGTTCTGATCTAATGAGCATATTAGCTTTTTATTATATAGGATAATCACCATCAGCTCTCTTGAGCCATCCCAAATAAACTAATTTAAGGAAAAAGAGTAGGTCTGCCATGTATCCCTAGTCCAAGCCTCCTAGCCCTGCTGTCCAAACTTTTAAGCTACATTCTAAAATTGCCCTATGTAGAAATTCTGGAGCTGCTTCTGAAAATTATGCATGTACTAGTATATCACTTAGCACAATGTCTGCTCATAGTAAGGAAATATTAGCAATCATTAGTGCTCTGCTGTTATTCACTAGTTTACCAAGAGATTGTGGTTTCCCTTCTCCATGCACTTCGACAAGTTCATAGAGATGGAAAGAGCATATCTGCTCTACTACAATGGTTCAAATAAAGTTTCATCAAGAAATTCACTGAATTCAAATAATATATTTTAACTTTTAATATTCGCCAAAATCCATTCCTAACTGCCTTACTCCAAAAAAACATTTAAAACTGCTAAATTCTGATCTTTTGCATGTGTGGTTACTTGGCTTTCTCACTTCTCTTTAAAAAAAGTTTTTTGTTTTGTTTTTTTAGTAACAATGGCCTTTTTTATTAGATCAAATTAACAGATATCCCATAATTCCAATTAGTGACAAACATGAACAGTGTTTCATGATGCCCGTAACAACCCTGCCTTAAAAATGAACCGATTTACTGCTAAATTCCTATTTGGGAAAATTACATTAGGGAAAATAAAGATGTACTATTCCCTCCATCAAATTCATGGATCCCGCTAGGAAAAATTTCAGTCAAAAACCCCTTCTGCAGTTCAAATAAACATTCCATGATGTTTCTTTCCTGGCTGTGTTCATGGTGGTCATTACTAAGTTCTCACTCGAAGCTTGTGGTCAGGACCCACTGACAAGAACTTGCTTGAAAAACAAGTGCACTGATGCAAATTCTGGTTCTCCTGATACCAAACAGCTGAGTTGTCGCAGACCGCCAGCTTGATGTGCTAAGGTGAACAATTCATTTTACTGTCTTCCACCTCAGAGGCCATCAGGCTGTGGGGCAGTCAGGGGCTGGGGCAATGGGTCCACTATGTTAATGGCGCAGTCCTGGGGATGGATCTCCCTGGCCAGCTGCCCCTTCTTCTTCAATGTGCAGGCCCGCTGGCACAGGGGCGAGATGGGGGGCTACATAGGTGGCGTGTATTTGTGCTCGGAGCCGTCCTCCAGGTCTAGTGGGTAACCGAGGTCCGAATCATAGGAGCTCAGGTCCCCACAGGTCACAAATGGCACAATGCTATGGGTGGGACCATCTAATTGGTGGAGACCTTTACTGTAAGAGCAATCCGGCAGGGGTTTGGTCAGGTCCAGCAGGAAGCCCTCAGGGGGCGCATAACCCTGACAGACGGCGAAGGCCTCGCTGCTGGCCTTCCGGCTGCTCCTGGGCTTGGCACAGAGCACGCTGGAGAAGAAGACATGCAGCTGGCTGTAGATGAGCGTCACATCCTGGCCTCGGAAGATCTTGGCTACAAAGCAGCCCCCTGGCTTCAGGACGTGTGTAGCGATGTTCAGAGCGGCGAGGAGAAGCTGGGCCTGCATATACTCATCAAGCTCGTGGAGGCCGGTGACATCAGGAGCCCCGTCGCACACCACCAGGTCGGCCGGGCAGCCCTCGAAGAGCCGGATGATGTCCTCGGCAGTGGACAGCTGGGTGATGTCCCCCTGGATCTGTAACACGCCTGGCAGCGGAGCCATAGCTTGAAGGTCCACAGCCACCACATGGCCGGAGCCCTGCGGACTCCCGATCTTCCGGCTCAGCACCTGGCTCCAGCTGCCCGGGGCCGCACACAGGTCCACAGCCCGCGTCACACCTTGGAAGAGCCGGAATTCCTCATCCAGCTGCAGCAGCTTGAAGGCGCTGCGGGCGCGCCAGCCGTTCTCCTTGGCCAGGCGGTAGTAGACATCCCGCTTGTCCTTCGACGTCCGTCCCATCTCGCACGCGGTCTGCCCAGGGACTCTGGGTCTGAAGCCTCCGCGGGGTCAGCCGGCCAGCGACGAGGGTGAACGTCTCTCCTTTCCCAGCTGGCGGGACCGTATAGGCCTGGGCGGAGGCGCCCTCCTGACGGGGGCCCCGGCGGCTGGCAGAGCGGGAGGGGAGGAGTGGGAGGATCCGTCCGCCGCGGCCCAGCCCGGGTCAAACCTGTGAGAAATGGCAGGGTTTCAGTTCGTTCTTAGTTGACCCAAATGCCCATGGCGCAGGCCTGCGGGCCACGGCAGCTAGGCAAGGCTGTCATGGCGATGCCAAAGCTGCGCGAGGCCCAGACCAACCGAACTTCCGGTGCGTCGCGTCATCACCTTGCGTCACCTTGCGTCAACTGTGGTTCCCAGTATACAAAGGGCACGCCCACAGCTTCTGAACGCTGAAACATTTTTAAATGATTTTTGTGTTCCTGATGATCGAAGTAAAGATCTCATAGCGCCAGGCCTTAAATGCATTTCCTTTTTACTATGTGTAAATTTCTCCTATGTATTAAAAGGTTTTTCTTTATAAAAACGAAGAGTTAAAATCATATATATATGCAATTTTGCATGTCATGATACACTTTTAAATAACATTTCCAAGGACCGTCAAATGGGTATTAAATTCTCAATGTCTTGCTAGTGTTGGATATGTAAGTGGAGTAGAATTGCTCAGTGTTTATTTCAAACTAGTGTGTAGAGAGTAAGGGTGCAGGTGCTGGTTACAACCTAGGTGAAGGAAGGCAACATACCCAGTGTGTGGCTCTGTGTGGGTGGGGCTGGGACATCAGACAGCTATGGCTGGACCAGTGAAAGCCAACAGGAGTAAATGTCCCCTAGAGTGTTCCAGGGCACACTCTATGTCAGGGTTTTTAAAAGATTGGGATAATGATGAAGAGTATAATAAACATCTAACATCTATGTAACATGTTCTCCCTTATTTGGGGTTGTTTCTAAAAGGATTTAGGGGGAATTCAATAACAAAGAACCCAATTAAAAATGAGCAAAAAAAACTTGAATAGGCATTTCTCCATGGTTTATAAGCACATGAAAAGATGCTTGCATTTTAATCATATTATAGTTTTCCTTTCCCCACGACTGTGGAAGCCAAGATCTTGTCTGGTTTGAGAGAAGGTGAAGAAGGGTGACATAATAAAGAAAGAAACATCCCATACTCCAACATACATATTATACCTCAACCCTCCACTCTCTTCATTGTTGGTACCTTTTCCAAACCCTTAATTATGAGAATTCTCCAAGCCTCCGTCTTCTATCCTCTATTTCTCTGGTCTCTTATTTGTGGTTTAATTAATAAATTCATGGAATAGATAAGAAGAGGCTATGCTAGGCTTTAAGGTGATAATAACATTAATATAGCTTCCCCTCCCTCCAGGAGTTTACTGGTTAGTGCAGAAAACCAGCATGCTAATTTCTATCCACCTTACATCTAATCCTCTTGCTGTGTCCTCTTTGCTGGTGATTGGAACTAACAATTACTCACTTCCAATTCCAAAACCCTGCAAGCCTTCCTCGTGCTGCTTTCACCAATCCTATAACACCCTGAACCAATCAGTCACCAAGTCCACTGATGCTGCCTCTAAACTATTTCTCAAATGTATTCCTACTCCCCATCCTATTTGCCATCAGCACACCCTCATTCCTCCTCTGGACCATGATCTCCCAGCTGACCTCCCAGCCACCACAGTATCTGTTTCAAATGCCAGTCTGACCCTATCAGTTCCCTCAGGTGCCATGATCTACAGGAGGGTATCCATAGTTCTTAACATCACAATCAAGGGCCCTGATAACCTCACCCTGTCAATCTCTAGCCCTAGCTTCTCCTGCCACCACCCATCCCTTCCACTCTGCAAGGCCCTCTGCCGTGGCTCCCCCACAGGCTGCCATGCTGTCTCCTGGCTGCCTCTAGTCACTGTTTAGAAACACCACCCGCTCCCTTCACACACACACACACACACACACACACACACACACACACACACACACACAAAATCAACTGTATGGTGCCTCTGTGTTTCTATGGCAACCTGTGCACTTCTCTCATAGTATGTAACTACCTGTCTCTCCCGCTGGTCTGAGAGTTCCTTGAAGATAAGACCAAGCCTGTTCTCTGTGCCTAGCACATAGGAAGAGCACAACACGTGTCAGGCACTGTTCTAAGCACTTTGTACACACCAATTAGCTTAATCCTCATGACGTTCTATGAGGAAAATGTTCTTATAGTGTCTATTACACAGTTGAGGACAGTGAGAGATTAATCAATTGGCCCAATACATAATAGGAAGTAGCAGAATTGGTATGGGAATTCAGGCCATCTGGCTCTAAAGCACTGTTCTCTTCAGCTCCTCAATTTACACGTGTTTGTTGAATGAATGAAAGATGATCCCTTTTCACTTCCCCATCACAATACGTGCACAACCAAATAAACAGTTCTCTCCCAATAGCCTCTTTTCTCCACATTGACCATTGCTCCTCCAGTCTCAGAGAAGCCTTTAGTCTGGGCCTTCCAACTCTCTCCTCCCTGACCGCATTCAATCTCTCATCATTCCTTTCAGGGGTTTGGCTTTGTTTTTCCTTGGAAACACTTGTCACATTCATCTCAGTCTGGTCCTCATCCCTTCAGGCCAGATGTCCACAGCAGCTTTCTGACTGGTTCCCTGGCTTCGCTACCTCACTCCGTTGGAACCTTGGGGGTTACGTACATTTTTATTAACACTTCACGGCAACTCATGAGCTCACCTTTTACAGATGAGAAACTGAAGAACAGAACCCAGGTTCAGACAGGGTTTGTCTGGCTCCAGGGACTCTTTCATTTCAAAAAAGACTGCTGATGTTGGCCAAGTCACTTAATCTCCAATAGTCTCAGATTTATTAATCACAAAATGGGGATAAGAACAGTAATGACCTCATGGTGAGAGCAACTGAGATAGCACAGTGCCTGACACACAGTCGCTGCTCAATGATCATCACTGATTAAAGCATAGCTGACATATGAGTTGGCTAATTGTTCTGACCAAAATGCTTTCTGGAAGCACTCTTGAGCCATAGCTGAGAGGAAGTTGCCATACCCGGCACCTTCTTTGTCCCTCAAAGGTGCTCTCTCCTGGGGCGCATCATACCATCGTATGAAAAAAAAAAAAATCACCTTACCGGTTACTTGCAGAATGCTCAGCAAGAGAGACTACACCCCGGTTTGGTGGAAAGTGCACAGAACCTGTGACTTTCTTCTGTCCAGGCTGTGTGACCACAGGAAATCTTGCTATCTCTTTTACTTTGCTCATCTACAAAATGGGGATAATAATAAATAATAATACACCCCTCCCCCAACCAATATCGAGATAATGCATCAATAGCTTTTGGTGCGTGTCCGGACAGGGTAAGGCCTAAAGCAGTTGTGCAACGTTGTCGTAGTCAGATCACCTATACGGGCACGTTTTACTGTAAGTCGAGGACCAGGTGGATTTATAAATCACGTTATCAAAATCAAGTATTAATAGTACAAGGAGGAAAGGTGACAGGATTGTGCAAATCAGGTACCATCACGTATCCTGAAAACTTACCTGTTTTAAGAGAGACCAGCGGCCCTTTCCCTTGAATCCTGAGAGGTGGGTAGAGAGAAGACCCGCCCTCCTCCTTCGCCGCCAAAGCCCGGCCTCCAGGTCCGGTGACGTGTGCCCAGGCCCCGCCTACTAAGGGGCGGGCATCCTCTGATCACGTGAGCGCGGGTGCGGAAGTGGTGCAGCAGGCCGCGTCGGTGATTGGTCCGGGCCTTGCGTCCCGGGGGCGGGGTCAGGCAGGCCGGACCCGCCAGAGAGGAGCCGGGGGAGGAGGCTGCCGCGGGGGCCGGTTCTAGGTCTGGGATTCGATCTGCGGTCCCATCGAACGCTGGACCGGCGGCGGCCCCGTGCACCCTGGCCTGCGCGCGCCCGCTGCTCTGGGTCACCCCGGCCCCAGGCGCCGGCGGCTGCGGGAGGGGGGTGGGAGGGAGGATCCGAGGGCGCGGGCGCCCTGTGTGCTGAGCAGGCGGGAGGCGGCCGGGGGGCCGGGACGCCATGTCCATGGAGGACCCCTTCTTTGTGGTGAAAGGGTGAGTGTCGCCGAGGGCTCCACTGGAGGAGGTGGAGGAGGAGGTGGCGATGCTGTCTGCCTGCACCTCCCCGCTCTCCCTGCTGGAGGGGGAGGGGAGACAAGTTGAGCCTGGGGAGGGGACCCTGGGGACGGCTTAGCTCTCAGGGCCATGACCAAGCGTCCAGAGACACCCTCTTCTTCATGATCTACCTGGACTGAGGAGTCCAAGCCCCTGGGGAGGGGGTCCCCTTTGGCCTGGGTGCTGCTGGGTAACTTGGGTGGGGGGTCGAGTTGTTCAGCAGCTCTGCAGGTTGGGGAGGGAGGCACGGGTCCCAGCCCAAACCGGGGCTCTCTAGTGGAGCACGGGTCTCTGCTTCGGAGGAGGGAAAACAGCATCTGGGCAGGAAAAGGGAAATGGCCCTCCTGAGCTTTGTAGTTGGCTTTGACGGGGGGTGAGCTCCCATTGTCCATTGAGATCGGAGCTCCGGCCCGCAGACTGGTGGGACCACAAGCTGCCCGGAGGCGTCCCGGCACGTTTTCAGGCTGGGAGGCGGGGGCGGTGTGGCTCTGGGAGGCCCGGGAGCAGGGCTCCGGAAGACAGCTTAATAAGTGGGGGAGTTTTTAACTGAGTAATGGGGCCGGGAGGAAAGCAAGTCGTCCGTGCTCGGTGATGATGTTGGAAGGAAAACAAAATGAAATCAGCCAAACTAAACTTTCCTAGGCTTTCTGTTAGCACCGGGATTTTCCCACAGTGCTAAAGGAAATGAGTGCTTTCTTTTCAACTCCCCTGATTTCACCCAGACCATTTGACAGGTTTGCCCACTTGTTTTTTTTTCCCCCTTTGAGCTGTCCTGACTCCATCTTTGATTGCTGGGTTGTCTGGAGAT